TTTCATTCAAACCAGAAATGAACAAGCTTTAGAACGAACTAACTGAATACTATTGGAAGTCAGAGTAGTGGCTATTACTCGACTACACAATATATACTATCTATTTATTAAAACTGAATACTGTATAGGTTTTGGCATTGTTACAGACCAAATTCCAGTAATCTGAGTATTTGCTCTGAGTTTGTGTTTGAGAAATTAAAACTAAGTGTTTTCAGTTTTTTTTTTTAATTATTTATCACATGTGAATTCTCTTATGAAAGTATCTATTTACTGCATCCTTTTTGCACATCCCTGGATATTTCCTGGTTGACTGCAAGTAGTACAACAGCAGCATTCTGGTGCAGGCATTGATATTATAAATTTAGCCCACAGACATCTTAAAAACGAAGGTGGGATACAAAATCTTTGAAGTTTAATTTCTATAGCTGAATATATGAAATATGGTCCAAATTATCCAAAAATTGTGGATGAATTGAAACTAATGCACATAAAATGGAAACATCTGCATATATACACTAGCCAATAGCCACATACCTATCAAGGTATGCAAGATATCCCCACTTATGCACATGTATTGGGCTTTTATATATATGGCTGACTGGTTCACACAGCGTGAATGTGTTTTTGAACTTGGGAACCTCTACTGGACAAGTGCTATATTTGGTATACATTATTTACATTACTACACAATAATCTTAATTATTGACAGGAAAGTTAAGCAGCAGAGTCAGCTTTGTGTTAAGAGAATGGACTGAGACTCAAGAGATCTGGGTTCAATTCCTGGTTCTGCTGCAGATTTCCTGGGTAACCTTGGGCAAGTCATTGAGGGTCAACTTTTCAAAAGAGCTTGAAGCTCTAAAGGTTCTGTGTAAGGACCTAAGTAGTCAGATTTTCAAAAAGGCTCAGTATTCACCAACTCCCACTGAGTAATGGGAGACAACAGGAATTGTGAGAAGTTGATAAAATCTGGTCACTTTACTTAGCTGCCTCTCAGACAGGTGAGTTCCCATGAAAATGTATCTCCTTAATCCCTCTGCACTTTCCTTTCCTTTCTCCCACCCTTTGCTTCTTATTCAAATGTTTGATCCCTCAAACACAACTGCATGGGCAAACTCTCCCTGAAGTCATAGGGAGTCTTTCTAACAATTTGCTTTGGAGATCTAAAGTTCAAGATTCTTTGGGGGAAAGGAATGTCTCTTACTATGTGTTTGTTCTCTGTTTGGCATAACTAGGGATCCTAATGTAAAACAATAACTAATAACTATGTATCATTATATGCCTGTTATATTCTCCCTTTCTCTTTCATTCGGTTTTTTTCTGACATTTTAGAACTGTTTAGAATGTCTCACTATATTTAACACTTATCTTCGGAACTTTTTATTATATCATGTTTTGTCATTTCCATCTTCCTACACCATCAATGAGAGGCATAAAACCTGAGTAGCACTGCAACCTTGTTTGTTCTGACCTGGACTGATGTTGTTCTGACCTGGACAAACCTGGACTGACCTGGACTGATGTTATTCTGACCTGGACTGATTTCTGTGGATGCAATTGCAGTATAGACTCTAACTAAAGTTGCCTCTGCTGTACTGGAAAGTATAATATATTGCTAATTATTTATGGAAAGGCCATCCAAAGCCACCTTCTATATTTTTTACATAAAAGCACCATTCTGCAAGGTGCTGAACCTTCTCAGCTTGTACTAAATTTTGATTAGACTTTTCATATAAAAGACCTATAGTCATATATTGCCTGAATACTGCCTTTTTCCAGTTATGTATTACCAATTCATTTTCCCCTTTATCTCAGAAATAAGCAGCATCTTCGTACAAAAAAAATCAGGAAAAATCTTAGTATATTCTTTGTCTTATTCTGGATAATTTATTTTAATTTAAATAAATTGACTTAAACTGACTTATGTACTTGGATAGGATTCTGTGGTATTTTCCATCATAAAGTTTATATTCTATTTCACTTTTTAAGCAGTTCATCTCCCACTAAATGAATTTTCTTATCAAATCATTCCGATGAGAAATAGTGTCATGATACTTTTATTTGTCAATGTTCAAATGCAGGAGGAGATAGTTATACAATACTGTACAATTCTCAAAGGGTTACTATTTATCTGGCCAATAAGCATTTTCTAAAAACTAATGAGCCTAGTCTCAAGTACTTCATAAATGCTTCTAAAGCTCGTATTATTATTTCACAAAATATATAAAATTGGTTGAATAGACTTTTTCATGTTAAGAGAGTTACAAAATTGGAGTGCTACAAAAGGCAATGATGTACTTACGTACATATGTTCTTAATCTTTAAAGCAAAGGGAAATATTGGAAACCACTAAAATATAATGATAATGACACTTTAAAGTTGGGATTAAAAAAAAAAAGATCCTTAGTTGGTGTAAATTGGCATAGTTCTCTGGACTCACTGGATTGATGCCAATTTACATCAGCTGAGGATCTGGATCTCAGTCTTTCCAATGTAGGTAGCCAGGAAAATTATTGCCATTGGTGAGGAGCCATGGGTTTGAAATATTAGAGCTGTATTGGATTTTATATTTATATTGTTAATGAATAGCAGTCTGGTTTTCTAATAAAAAGTTGATAGAGTAAAATAATTCTTCTTTACCACATAGAAATCATATTACCGGTAATCTACAGCATCAGATAATGTAGTTAATATAATTCTGGGGCTGTTCTTTTGAAATACAGATTATAAACAGAGAATTCAATATAGTAGTTTCAAACTCAGGCACTGTGATCTGTTACAAGCTATGTTCCATTTTTATATATCTTTGGTCCCTACATCTTATCATATTGTTTTCAAAATGCAAGATGAAAGCACAACTGGCATCTGAATTGACAGAAATGAATCTCTATCACCAGAATGTGAAAGCCCTTTAAGAGTTTCACTTGTGATATACCAACTTGTGGTTACAATGCTGACTGCTGAGAAACAACTGAACTTTGCAGGCCTAAAGCAACTTTCTGCAAGATCCCATTTAATGAGCTTGTGATTATTGCTGAGGTGCTTCTAGCAAATCATGTGCAGAATCTTGTATTTGATGTATCTGCCAAATACTTTTTATACCGATGCTGCTATGATGGAAACCAGCACTGTGCTTTCAGCACTGGAAAAGTAACAAAGATACACTGGTAAGTAAACACATTGTACAATCTGCCAATGCTCAAGGTAATAAGGAGATCCAACACAAATCAATGGAGTGAACACATATTACATGGTAGACACACTCTAGAATGCATTCAGCCACATAGTTCTTTGCTTGGAATGACTGACCTTTCCAATATGCCTGTTGATGCTGGACTGTTCTTTTTTATAGGTATGACTGTGTCTTCTACTGTTTTCTTGTTACCTTCTATGTTTTGAAATACTTTTCGAAGTATCTATACTAACACATATCTCTGAGATTTCCTTACCTCTACACAGACTGAAGAAAGAAATCAGAACTAGAAAAGAAAAATGAAGATGAAGGAGGTAACTTTGTCATAAATATGTATTTTATGACAGCAAAGCAGAGTAACAGTTTTGCTCTTGAAACAACAATCCTACCAATCTCTATATCAGGGAAGACTCAGACTCATAGACTTTGCAGTCAGAAGGGAACATTGTGATAGCTATTCTGATCTTTCTGCACATTGTAGGCGACAAAACCACATCCACCCACTCCTGTAATGAACCCCTAACTTCTGGGTCACTTCTCAAAGTACAGAGAATTCACCTTTCACACTAGTTTAAATCTGCAAGTGACCAATGCTGCAGAGGAAAGCGAACCTTCCCCCCCACCGAGTCTCTGCCAATTTGACCCCAAGAAAATTCCATCCCAACCTCAAATATGGTGATACAATCTGAGCATGTAGACAATACTACGAGGCAGATTTTGGGAAATTAATACTTTATAATAAACTCAGAGCCCTTCCTGTGCAGTGTCCTATATCAGACACTGGGGATGTTTGCAACGGGCAGTCGCTGAAGTGCTACATGCCATTTCTCCCCTCAATAAACTTACCAAGCTCAGTCTTGAAGCTAGTTAGGTTTCATGCTCCCACTGCTCCTCTTGGAAGGCTGCTCAGGAACTTAAGTCTGATGGTTAGAAACTTTCGCCTAATTTTGAGCCTAAACTTGTTGATGGCCAGGATATATCCATTTGTTCTTGTTTCCACACTGGTGCTTAACTAAAATAACTCCTCTCCCACCCTGGTATTTAGCCATCCGATGTATTTGTATAAAGCACTTACATCTCCCATTGGTTTTCTTTTGTTTAGACTGAACATGCCAACTTCTGATCTCCTCCCATAATGTAGCTTTTACATTCCTTGGATCAGCGTGTAGCCCTTCTTTGCATCAGAGCATTCCATTAAATATTTTCATGACTATATTACACTAATCACATGATCAACCAGTACACCCAGGTCTTTGTCTTCCTCTATCACTTCCAAATGATAAATCCCCAGCTTATAGCAAAATTCTTGTCTGACAATCTTCAGAATTGGAAATCTTTCTAATGGTTTCTCATCACCTGCCTCTCTAGGACAGATCCAAAGTCCACTACATAATCAGAACCACAGGTGTTGGTCAGATGTACAGAATGAGGAATAAATCCACACCTCTAAGACCATGAGGTGGTTGAAGAATCTGTCCAATAACCTAAAACAGCTTGACCCACTGAAGAACTCCAGGTGGAACAAGAGAGAGAATTCATGCAGCAGGGGATCCAGCAAATAGAACGTGGTGACACGTTTTTCCTGAAACTTTTTTCATCAAAGAAACAAAACTAAAATGCAGGCTTTAGATCAATGGAACATTTCACAAATCTTGTGGTGCTTTCACAGAATTGTTTCAGTAAAAAAATATGAAAGCATTTTGATGTTCTAAAAATTAAATGTTTCAATTCTTCTATTCAAAATGACATTTTATTTCCTTTAATTTTTATTGTTTTTTAAATGTAAAAGAGAAAACTGCCATGTTCTTACCTTTGCATTGTATGGAATATAATGTTTGGATAAAGCCTCAGGAGTGTGCATCCATGTTTTGTCTGCAAAAAGCAAATCAAAAAATTGAATGACATTACATATATTATTGTTTTTAATGTAATTTTAAATGCATCAATCACACTAATTTTATTAAGTTCATTTCTACAATAGATAATTATAATGAATTTCATTACCACAGTATCTGAGCACCTTACAGACCTACGTGAATTTATCTTTGGGAGGTAAAGCAATACTATTATCCCAATTAACATTACCCATCCCGTTGTGATGGTAGATGTACACTCAGGTTGGCCTGACACGGAGGCAAAAGCAGACCCAGCTGCCATCTTGCCCGTGAAGGACCTGCTGTGCCATGGCTGTGTCCCTGCTGCTCTACCCCTACCTGGCATCACTCAAGCACACCATGCACTCAAACCCGCCAGAAAGCACTGTAGGTGTCATGTTATTGGATTTTAAAGTGAGTAGGCAGATTACTGTGGCACCCACTAGTGTGTGTTTGGTCCAAGTTCTATACAAAGTGGGCCACGTGAAGTGTCAAATAAAAGCTTATGCTCTGTTGATTCTATGTATGCTACTCATGTACCTGTATGGTTTTTGTATGTGAAATTATGGATATGGGCTCTTGTTCTTGTACAGGCAGTCCCCGGGTTACGTACAAGATAGGGACTGTAGGTTTGTTCTTAAGTTGAATTTGTATGTAAGTCGGAACTGGTACATATTGTAGGGGAAACTCTAGCCAAACATTTCTCCAGAGCTCAGTTTTATTCTCCCACACCTCACTTCCCTCAGTCCTTTATTCTCAAGCTGAGGTGTCTGCTGAGAAAAGCCGCTCTGCGTCTCCTTGGTCTGCTGGGGGGAGCGCTAGCTTCGCATCTCCCTGGTCTGCTGGGGGGAAGCAGCTAGTGCGGGGTTGCCTCACCCCGTTTGTAAGTAGGTATCCGATGTAAGTTGGATCCATGTAACCCGGGGACTGCCTGTATTTTAAATGTTCTCTATCTGGGAGACAGCTATGGGCCTCAGTTGCCTGTTTGATCTGAGGAAGTGGGTCTGGCCCACGAAAGCTCATCATCTAATAAACCATCTTGTTAGTCTTTAAAGTGCTACATTGTCCTGCATTTTGCTTCAGCTACCCCAGACTAACACGGCTACATCTCTATCACAGTTGCCTGTTGTGAGGGATGGTTATTCTATGTATATCTGTGCTAATTAGCAATGCTGCATGGACAACGGCCCTCGGAGTTGCCATTACAAGAGGAATGTGTCTAGAAACCTGCAAGCCAGCCAGTGCATCATGGCTACTTGTATGCAAGACAAAGACAGATCACTTGATCATGTGACCAACTCCAGTTTAGGAGGCATGAGGACTATAACAGTGCCATGAGGCTGTCTTCATCTTGTGTTTAACCCTGCTGCCAGGGAGGAGTGCACATTAACCTGGTAGCGGTTAGTTGGTCTGCAGCGACTTGCTTAGAAAATGAAAGGTGCACAAAGCACCTGCGCTGCACTTTCCCCTCCCGCCTCACCTCCGGCTGGTGCCTCGGGACCTGCCAAAGGCAGGGGAGTCTTGCGAGAAGCCTGTTCTCAGGACAGATGCCTTTCCTTTATAGTAATATAGATTTTACATATAGAAAAACCAGTCACTGAGAGGCTAATGGCCACATTTGTAAAGGCACTTGGGCTACGTCTACACTGGCCCCTCTTCCGGAAGGGGCATGTAAATTTCACGAGTCGTCGTAGGGAAATCCGCGGGGGATTTAAATATCCCCCGCGGCATTTAAATAAAAATGTCCGCCGCTTTTTTCCGGCTTTTAAAAAAGCCGGAAAAGAGCATCTAGACTGGCCCCGATCCTAAGTAGGAATAAGAGCCTCCGGAAAAGGGCGCTTTTTCCGGAGGATCGGGGCCAGTCTAGACGCTCTTTTCCGGCTTTTTTAAAAGCCGGAAAAAAGCGGCGGACATTTTTATTTAAATGCCGCGGGGGATATTTAAATCCCCCGCGGATTTCCCTACGACGACTCGTGAAATTTACATGCCCCTTCCGGAAGAGGGGCCAGTGTAGACGTAGCCTTGGTGTGTAAATCTGCAGATAGGCACCTACTGGAATTTTTAAAAGTGCCAAAGTGTCATATTCTCGGATACCTGTTTACATCATTAGCCACCTGAACACCTTTAAAAATCTGGCCCTAACAAACTTGTCCATGAACACATGGAAAGTCTGTGGCAAATAAGGCAAGTGGATCCAGGTTTCCTCTGGCCTAGGCCAGTACTTTGCACTGATACACTAGAATATCTTTCCTCTCCTTAATACTACTACTTTGTAGAATTGTTGTGCATTATCTCTATCAGAACAGAGAATCAGCAGAGTTGTTTTGTACTGGAGGTACCGCAGATACACAGTGATGTGAAAGGTCTTTTTTTTTTATAAGCATGAATGAAGATCTCCATATGCCATTTTAAAATTACATATCCTGGCTGTGTACAAGGCTTCAACTGTTCCAACTTGAAATATGACAAAATATTACAGGAAAAATCAACTACTAGGTAACATCCTTGCTGGAAAACGCATGTCAAATTCATCCAGTAACTCCATTATTTCAGGAGAAAAGTTAAGAAACAAATTTGACTATCCAGAAAGGCTTTGACTTTTTAATAATACACAATAATTCAGCTTTTCATCCTGGGCATCAATGAGATTTTCCATTTTGATCACTTTCACTGAATTTAAAATGAGAACTAGAGCCATGTTTTCTGTATTTTTCCTCTTCCCTGTGAAAGTGTTATTTCAGTCTACATCATTTTTTCCTTGTCTTTCTTGATACTTTCTTCACCATGCAGCTGTTCCAGACATTGAGTTCATATTACCCCTTATTCTGATATTTTGTTTGTAGATCTTTTAGACTGTTTCTTAGATTTTTATTGTATTAATTTCTTCAAAATAAATGAAAATAAAATAAAAAGCAAAACTGTTATGTACAATATTTCCACAAGAAAGGTTTCCGTAAAACAATCCTGTCTTAAACCACGTTAAAATTAGGTACAATTTTAAAACTTTAATCTTTCACCGGATGACATAAATAAAATTGTTTATTTTCCTTTAATGATCCATCTAAGAAATATACACTATTGTCTCACTTTTCCTGCTGTGAATTTTATTGTGCTTTGACAGTATGTGTTAACTGCTCACTGAAACACATTCGTATTTTCTTGTCTTTGCAATGTCTATTTCTAAAATGCCTATTTTATGTAAATCAAATCTCGTAAACTTTCAGAAAAACAATTTGAACACCAGAAGTTTGGAAATCCACCTGAAACATGATATAGAGAAGAAATAATATATTTGTCTTGGGCCCATGCTTTTCAAATGACTAGATGATATACATGACTTTTTAAAAAGTATGATGAATTCCTTTTTCAGGGTGAATAGTGCTTCTTTATACATAACACTATTCTCCTTTCAGGTAGTGTGAGTCACGGTTGCAGAATCTGGAACTTCATTGAACGAACAATCACAAGAGTAATGCAAGGCAAAATTCTGCCCTTGGATCAGCACATGCAATTCCATTTACCTCAGTGAGTTTACAGCGATATAACTAAATAATTAATGCTTTTCTGTTGATAACATACAAGAATGAATACAATGTTCTGAGTTATGATTGCTTTTGCAATCTTAATAAGATAAATGAAGTAAAACATTTTTAAAATTATAGAACTATACTTCTGAATGTGCATCAGAAGCAGAGCTATTGAGTAAGGGTATGTCTACACTACAGAGTTTTATCGGAAAAATGGACATCCACACTGAATTACGTCAATTACTGCCATTGCGTTCTTCCGAAAGTAAATCAAAAGGACAGAGGGGTTTACCGGTGCTGGTAATCCCCTTTCTACAAGAAAGAAGCCTTTTCCAGAAAGAGTTCTTTCGGAAAAAGGTGTATGTGGATGGGGAAGGAGTTATTTCAAAAGAAGAGGAAAAAGGAAAAAGCACAGGTGTCCTGGTAGCCACTCCATCCACAGAAATCACAGCTTAAATGCGAGATAGAGTCCACACTGAATGGATGCCATCTTTTGAAAGTGATCTGCTTTTTCTATGTGCTTTTATGTGTGGACGCTCTGAGAAGAAGATTTTTTGGAAGATCTTTTCCGAAACAAGTTTCTTCCGAAAGAAGCCTGCAGTCTAGACATAGCCAAGATATATATCTTTACACAGTCACTTTCACAACGGAATCAGAACACAATGGAGGGTCTGGGTCTAAAAACACCAAATCTGTTCTGCAGCATTTAAGGTAGTTCCCTTTGAAAGTGACACTCTTGCATGAAAGAATAAGATTTAGCCACCTGTTCCTTAAAGTGGCATCATTTAATATTTGATATTTGTACAGTAGCTACACATTTGCTTTTGGCTATGGCTGAAGAGCACACAGCTTATTGGAGGGGTTAGATGCAGAGAGAGGACATGTATGTAAAGGTGACCTTTCTGCTCCCATGATCATAGCTTAGCTGTGTGCTGAGCTATTCTCTCAGTGTAAAACTGCTTTGGTGAGAGCTATTCTATATTAATTCAGCTGTCAATTGTCCTGATGTAATGCGTTACTCTGGGATCACTGGGATGTAATGAAAATTTTTAAAATTCATAATCAATACAGTTGGAAGACAAAAAGTAAATTAGAAAGCATCATGACCAAGATTAATTTGGACTATTATACTTTTGAAAAAGAATCACACTTTAAAAATCAGTACACTATTTTTAGAGGGAGATGAGGGAAAAGGGGGTTTGCCAAATAGCAGGAGGAGACTAAGAGAAGTCAGATGAGTGTGTCTATACTATAATACTGTCTATACTGTCACTGGATGTAATTACAGCACAATCTGATGCCAGTTCTACACTGGCGGAGAAAATCAATGCAAGATACGCAACTCTAGCTACGTGAAATGCAAAGCTGGAGTTGATGTACCTTGTATCGATTTTCTGGGGCGGCCCTAGAGTGAGAGGTCGACAGGAGAAATGCTCCCGTCAACTTCCCTTACTCCTAGCAACAGCAAGCA